ATCGGCCGATCCTTATGAAGTATGGAGATACCCTTAGGAGCGATCCACCCAAATTGGTCAATTTTTATGAAGCATAAAGGCACCAAAACCAATAATCCAAAAGCCATCAAACAAAAGTTACTATCCAGTAGGTCCCTTATGGCAGACCGTTTCCTGCACGCATGAAAACAGCACTAAAACACATCAATTTATCAAAAACAGTAAAACAGTAGGTAAACCCAAAATGTCCATTTTGAGAAAAGAAATCAAGAACGTGCGAGAAAGAACAAAAAAAGGAGTACGAAATACTTACCTTCTCGTTCGCAGTGATCGAGAACTAACGTGCCTGTCGCTGTATCCGCGATGTATCCGTGCAGACACAAAAAAAGGAACAAAAATACTTCTACTTTGTTTTTGCAAGCCACCTCATGGAATTGATAATCTTTGTTGTACGTTACCAGACGGTATATAACTATCTTAGAGTCGATTCTCAGACTGAATACTCTGATTTAGAAACCATAAACCTTACTTTCACACTAAATGCTGACCCCAACAAAGCTTACAAACAAGCTACAACATCGAGCAGCATGCATTACTTAAGCTAGATTAGAAGATAGATCATTCAGAGAAAAGCAGCACATTTTAAGCTATCCATCTACACATGGAATAATCGAATGAGTAACATATATGACACTTTGAAGTGACTCGTAAGATTGAATCAGATCATGACATACAGTAAGATAAAATTAGCATTAATCTATTCCGTTCCTGCTTTCTTTGATTTAAACAGCAAAATTCCTATGACGTGTCTCTACGAAAGACCTAATGTAAACTTCAAAATTTCCAAACATCCTGTAATTAGTCTTGATCTACTAAATCTGCTTCTAAAATGTCTAGCTTTGATGAAAATCATGGCACAACTTAAATCCTAAACATTGCAAAAGATATTCTGCTCGCTCATGCATTCAATAAATACTATACATTCGCAAAGTACTTTAAAGGTTTCACAATATGAGTGCTGTTTGATCTGACTGAAACTTTCGAGTGCCTAGCTAGAATAGTTCTCATCCAGTCATTCATGTTCGCACCTAATGGCGACTGTCGACCCTTCATAGAAATTGCTCGCAGAGAAAAACGTGGCGATCGAATCACGAGTTTGTGACTGAGTGCCCGGTCGAGCGGGGCAAGCAGTTGCGGTGGGACAGATGGCTGTTGTAGTGAGTCCAGTGATGGCTGGGAGGGATGGCATGAGATCGTCGACCTGCTAACGTTCGTCGACGATTCGGACGGGTCGTCTTCGTCGGAAGTGTCGCCATCTTCCTCACAGCAGTCGACTAAACAAGCCGACGCGTTTCTCATTTGTGAGAATTGAGAACTCAGGTATGATATGCAGAAAAGAACGCCTCATAGCTGGGATTTCACGTTGACTGATCCTTCTCAAAATATAAGTTGAACAGTCATAAAAGTAGTAGGAATATTCACAGGGATGAAGGTTTCAACACCGGTAAACAGCATACATGGGAGAGAGTGAGTATTCTCAGACGAACACATGTGTAGACAGCAATAAATAATATATAATCAGCCAAAGATTCACCATATCTCAAGTTCGACTACCAAAAGAAAATCAGCTACAGCTGCTACTACATCATGAAGAGTTAGCGTACTTATGAGGCGGTCAGGGCCATCTGGCAAAAAGCAATCGACCACTGACTCCATACAACCACTTACAGATAGCATTCCTCAACTTTTACTTCAAAAGAAGCCAAGAAAGCACTTTGAAACAAGAAAAATAGCAAAAAAGAAAGACGCAAGATATTTCAAAAGAGAAAAAAAACCGTTATCACTGGTAACAAAGAAGAACGCTCTTTTTCATTCTCAAAAAATTCTAATCAAAAATTCATTGTAAAATATACGCAGAATACATGCGATAGGGCAAAAATTGGCTCACTCCCCCCCCCCCCCCCCCTCTCCCTTTACCTTGGGACAAAAAACAGGGTGGTCTCTCTTCATCGTGACCAGGTGAAAAAGTAGTATTTTCTGAGAAGATTAAAAAACAATCTCTTAGGGTATTTCCATACTTCATAAGGATCCGCCAATTCAGATCGGCCGATCAAATGTGCGTGGCGTTTGCGTTGCGGCCCCCTGTTAAGCACCGATTTGGCGCAATTCGGCTCTATCCCAGCCCTTCACTTTTTTGTCCCGACTTTGACTGCTTTCTTTCTTCAGGTTGTATTAGAGTTCCCAGAAGCGTTAGCAAGCGTGCCAGAAAGATGAGAACGGAATCCGAGGCAGAATGGTATTTGACTGCGGCGCAGCAACGCAACCGCCGCGCACCCTTGATCGGCCGATTTGAGGCGGTCGATCCTTATGAAGTATGGAAATACCCTTATGCCTATCTGCACCCACCGCCAGATACAAGGAGAGAGACTACGAAGAAGATGATGAATATAATCATTAAACTATTAGTAGTATAACAAGAAGTTATGAAATTAAATCATACATAAATAATCTGTTTTTACAGGATAATGTGCTAAAAGAATGATTTTAACACGAATTACTATATAAGAAGATATTCGAGATCGCTTAGGTCATTTTTTTTTTGAAAATCGTGCTATCGTAGCTGTCGTCAGTTTCAATAGTATAAGAATGATATATAATATTTAGTACATCACTTTACTTTGTTAAGAATCACCTAGAATTGTTCGTAAGCCAGCCTCGCCACTCAGCTGTTTTGCTCATCAGAAACCTCCTCTATAGGTAGCCTTTATGAAGACGGATTGATATGCGACGACATCAACAATATTGAGGCAATTTTTCTCGATAGCAAAATCCACAGTGATGTTGATTTGAGGAAAATCCAGGCTTCTAATTGGACCACGTCTCGTGGATAGAAGCGTTTGTAACTTCTTTAGAAACGTTTCGCAGCATTGAGGCATACTCAAAATCCCCATATCTTCTTCTAGAAAATATATAACTTGTTAAGCGAAATAGTTTATTTAACTTGCGAGAATGGTTGAATATACTTGTACTACGATATTCAGGTGCCGTAAGAACATCAAAAGATGCCGACAAGGGTCCTAATCATCGCAGCACGAATATATTCTTCTAACATTGTTTTCTAAAAACCGATTATATGAACATTCTGAATATGCCCCAAACGTTGCGAAAGGCTCCCAAGGAAAGAACTTACAAGCGCTATCCACGAGACGTGGTCCTTTGAAAGCCTGGATCTCTCCCAAATCAAATCAAATCATTCTGCAATTTTCTAATTTATTGAGGGTTGCTTCAATACTGCTAGTACCCTTGCAAATCAATCCTTCATAGTAGCTGCCCATATAGGAAGGCCTGATGTGCAACGAAGCTGAGTGGCGAGGCTATTTTACGAACAATTCCAGATAACTTTTGCCAAGTTAAGTGAAGCACTATAGATTATATACCATTCGAAAAAGAAGATTTCCCCTACTAATTTATACTCTCGCAACCGACGACAGCTAAAACGGCACATTCCAAAAAAAACTAAGTAAAGGACCTTGGATTGAACCTTCTTATATAGTAGTTCTATGTCAGAATATTCTTTTGGCATTATCCTGTAAAAACAGCTTATTTATGCATCCATTATTACACTGTTATAATTCAACTAGTTATGTGCATATTTATCACCTCCTTCGCAATCTTCTGTCACTGTGAGCGGAGACGAGACCTTTTTTTTGACTTCTCAGACGGCTGTCTTATTTCTTAATGGAAAATAAGCACTGTATAGAAACTCTAATGATACTAGATCCCCCTTCTCCCCCTACCGGTCAACGACGTATTCACTTAAAGACGTAAAAGTTTGTTGTGACCCCCTCAGAGGCCGGTGTTCACCTTATCGCACGTACAATATGCAGTTGTTGCTTCACGCAAGATTAGTATGCTTCAATGACAAAGCAGTTTTTCGTCTAAATCGCAAAAACATATTACATGACTATTTCATTCCGATCTTACATTTAGAAAATGAAAAGCATACGTGGTGTGATGGAATCCTCGCCAACAACTTCGGGAGTCTCCGCTATTTCGTCTTCCTCGTCCAACTTTCCTTCGCGGATAAATTGATCAAGCTGATGTTTTTCAATTTCCGGCTTCAGACGTTTATTTTTGATCAGGATCTTTCGCCGCAGTCGATTTGGAGAAGGTAGTGGAACACCAGGTTCAAGCTGAACGTCAGCAGATGTTAAAAAGGCACAGTTGATTACATTAGGTTGGTAAAAAGACAATTATTAGTCGATTTTTCACTCGATTATAGATTGTGCAAAAGTTTTGCCTTTGAGCTAGATGCCATAATAAGAGTATTTCATGGAGAGTCTGATGGCCTAATCTTGAAAATAAATCTACGTTTAGACAGCTCTATGGAGCAAATCCTAAAATTTAGTACGTCCTTTTTATAACAATTGGAATTAAATAACGCTTTCAAGCAGGAGCTTAAATCTTAGTTCTGCGCATAAAAGCTCTGTTCCTTAGGCAAGGTACATCGCCTTTCAAGAGGACCAAGTTTACAGTGCCAAATGGAAAATTTAAAATTGCAAAAAAAAATTGACTAGTGTGTTACAGAACCAAGGTTGGGATGGAAATGATCTGCATAATCGTGTTCTAGCCAAATTCCGTATGTAACTGCCAATTTCAAAAGTCCGCAGTAAAATGATCTTCAGATAAAAGAAGATAGAAGGTTGGTTGTGTATAGAAATATTCCCTTATCGTTAGTTCAACGACCTATACAATTCTTTACATGTTGAACTACATTTTTTCTTTATACTTCAAGGAAGTTTAGGGAAAAAATAAAAGTAAAAACGAACTGGGAAATCCTCTAAAGGTTTCATCAGAAGCATATCTCCGAAGATATCCATGCAGTACTTGGCCATCTTCAGTTGATTTGACTTGGAGCAGTGATTTTCAAATGATAAAATGACCGGGAAGTCTGACCGAGCAAATGCGGTATCTCGAATTTGATAAAGAACATCCTGAATTACTGACAGTTGTATTGAAGAA